ACAGAGTCATTACAGTTTCAATACAAAGACTAGGAGGTTAAACTTACAAAATAAGCAAAAATGCTATGAAATATAGCACAGCGCTGATGATGTTGAACATGCCCGGATAGAAGGCGAACGTCGCATTGTAAACGCTGGTGTAGAGTGGTGCTGAGCCTAGTGGAGTGATTGTCTGCAGAGCTGTCGTCACAGAGAAAACTTTGCCGGTTTCATTCGTCGGTGTCACAAAGGAGAGAATGGTCAACAACATCGGAGTAATGATGGTTGAAATGAAGCCCAGCGCGGTAGCCAAATACATTTCCCAGAATTGTTGCGCCGCAGCGCGCACTGTGCTCTCACAAACGGCAGAGAGCAGAGACATAATAGCTATGGTCTCGATAGAAAGTTGCATGTGCTGAAATATTTTGAATGAAAATATTGATGACACACGTTTGTTGGATTCCAATTTGATGCAATTTCAGCAAATTTGTATATACATACCTTTCGAAAAGTGATAATTGCAAAAGTGCCACCAGCAATTTGAATAGCAGCGCTAATAGAGTTGTAATCACTATACTGGCTAACTGTAGTACTGAATTTGGCGCGCAGAAATAAGTAGAAGACATTACTCTCGCCAGCTGAAATAGAAATTTTTGTTTGACTTTAGGATACACATACAAAAAGAATAATAGAATAGAGCAAGTTAAAAATTCTCCTAATTGATGACGCAAACTAAGTTCCATCGATAGTATTCATAACGCCATATTGCATACAAATATGTATGTATGTATGTACAAATTAACCTCAAACATAAATAGTAATTCTTTCGATGAGTATTTTATGTGTCCAATCTCTTCCAGAACTGGGTTTGTCTACCACGAAAGAACACCAACCTTTGACCTTAGCTTCGCTGTAATCGTAACAAAAAAAAATGCTTTATTTTACTTACACGTTGTAAAATTGGAAATAACCAAAGCAATCATCGTAAGCCAAATGAAGGTGCGCATATGATTGGGGCGCTTGGCAGTGCAGGTGCGCACCAAATCAATGAGATGTGTAATACTGAAGAACTGGCTTAGCTTGTACTGCAAGTGAAGATGACGACAATCAATTAGGATCGCTACAATTTACAATTTTTTGTACGCTTTGCTTACTCACCATCAAAGTAGTGTGCTCCACTTTTAAACTCTCCTCATTCACAAAGATTATGTAGACCATAGCTAAGAGCGCCGATAGCGCTGAAATCGCAAATACAACTTGCATACTTGTCTTGGCGAAGAGTGCACCGCCCGCCAATGTACCGGCAACAGTGCCAAGGCCAATTGCGGCATCAGCTAAAACCATTCTGTGTTCAGAAATTAATTTATTATAAAAA